AAATGTAACATTACAGAACAATGTCGGAAATCTATGGACCACTTAATCCTGAAATACAATTATTATATTAAAATGTACATATACGATAAACGATTGTCTCAGTTTCTTTCGACGATTCGATAATTTCAACCCCTTCGCTTATGCTGCAAGTCTTACATTAATCTAGAAATATTTTGTATTACAATTTATTATACCATTTTATTCCCCTGCACCCCCCCTTCCTATAATAATAATATGAATACAATATTCAATCGTTAATTCGAAATTCTTTCAATTAAACTAACTACTTAATTTTAATTCATAATTAGTAAAATCTGAATAAAAGTACAAACATTAATTGCCAATTGGTGATCAATTAAAAATCTCATTTATCAGCAATCCTGGTTCCTTGTGACTTCTATCATTACGGTGACCATTTACTTTGTATGTATTTCCGAGGACAGTTCTGTATTTCAGCAGCGTGTCCTCGAAATTTCTTTAAGAAATACGGGATGTACAAATATTCTGTATTTATGTTGTAGTCCCGCATTTGCATATTATATGTATACATAATATAACATCAAATAACATAGAGATGAGTTTCCTACAACTAAGTTTCTAATTTTTTTGTTCAATAATAAATTGTAATAATTGGGTATTCCTACAAAGTGGTCGTGTTCATTATTTTTAACTCTTTGTAAATTTTTGTGACTGATCAATTTCGAGATGATTTTGTTACGTCATGAAGGTTTTGCTGTGAAAAATGTGCTAGATGATGCAGCTGACTGCAATGGCACAGGACAGCAAAAGGCAATAATTGATCATTACAAAGAAATATAATTACGAGCCTTGCTCTATTGGATGGAAGATTAGTCCTGTATGGAGGTATTGTAATAGTGCAGTTGTTGCACTGCTCTGTGATTATTTTTACCTAACCAGCATGTAAATTTGTTTTAGTCTCTTGTGTATAATCGTACTTTTTGTTGGTGGGTCTTTTGACATTATATACAATGTACAAAGGGGGCATTTGTTGTAGCTATTTAAAGGTAAATTTCAATTACAAATAGTATATTTATTGTATGTACAGACGAATAATTTTTGAATACTGTGTTCTGTACATTTCAGAGAACCAACAGGTTTCAACTCTGATCTTGTGTGGGAAGCAAGTTCATATTTCAAGAAATACGATGACAAATATAATCTTGTGCTCTTTGTTAACACAGGGAATTTGAATGAAACTAGTCAGTTGCAAATTTTATCGATGTTAATCCGGAATGTATTCCAAAATTAATAGAAAATGTTATAACAAGAATGCACCACAATTTTAGTCGACGTAAAGAAGACAATCAAATTAATGCATTTGCTATTGTTTTGTAAATATTTTATATACTTTGTATCAGTGTAAATATATTTTTCCAGAATAAAAGACCCGATGATTTTAAAACAGGCATATTATAATTCACATTGAAATACAATAAGGAAATAAATATAAACTTTAACATGATCAATGAAATATAAATTTTCTGTATTCATTTATATTATTATATCCATTCTATTTGACATTATATTTTATTTTGACAATATCAAATGTATAAATAATAATTGAAATATCGTGTATACATAATTAGATCAAGAAATAATGAAATGAAATGATAGATACTCAGTGTATTAACTAAACATATAAATTATAATTCCATGATGGAAAATAGAGTTAATTATTTCCTGCACAATTAAAGTAAAACGTTCATTTCTGAATGATAACTTTCAAGTTTTTCATTCGTTCTGATAAAAGTGCGTTTTCAAAAACAACATTTGTAAAAATTATTGACGAACATAAAGCAGATATTTTTTAAAAAGTAACCGCATCCAGAGACTAATAATAATTTATAAATACGTTATATCTTATATTATCCATGCGTCGTGTCGTCCTCTACAAAATCTGCTGCTTCCTCTCGAGTTACGCAGACAACGTGCGAAACTCTGTTTCTAAATTTAACGCCATAAAATTTGTTCGCGTGTTGTAATAGCTCTGGCCTGAAGTAAAATTTATATATTAAAATTACTTATTATTTGTACACAAATAATGTAACATTACCTAAAGGTGGTCGTGATGAATTGGGCATCTGAACTAAGTTCGTGGATCATATCCGCTACAGCTTTCCTATGTTGCGCATCTAGAGCCTGGTCGATTTCATCGAACAAATAAAACGGCGCTGGGTCACACTTTTGTATAGCAAATATTAACGCTAACGCTACAAGTGATTTCTGTCCACCAGATAACTGATTCATTTCTCTCATTTCGGCTCTGTGACCGGTGAATGAAACTCGTATACCTGTCCGACAGAAAACAACCGTTATTACTTTATTTTCTCGCTAATAAAAAAGTAAAAATTCGTATTATCTTACCAACTCCAATAAACCTATCAGAATCGGCTGATTCGGTTGTCGTATCGTCTCCTTCGTCTCCATCTGCAGTTTTCATAACTAGTTGTGCATGACCAGAAGGAACCAATTTCTTGAATACTTCGCTGAAGTATTTGCTCACCTAAAAAGAGTAAATAGCATTTCGTCTTTTCTAACTCGATTATGAAGTATGTAATGCGGTCGTACGCACTTGTTTGAACGTAAACTGAATTGCCTCGCATTTACGTTGTTCGAGAACCGACATTAATTCCTTGATTTTCTCATCACCTCTATCCAACTCCTCTTTCCTTTTTACCAATCTCTCTTTTTGATCACTAAACGACATGAACTGATCCAAGGCTTTTTTATTTACATGACTAAAATGCCAAACAAGTTTTTACTAAATATATGAAAACCTATCATTACGTACATTGTTAGATATGTATGTTACCTATATTTCTTTAAGTGATTATTTGCTTTTTCCATTTCTTTGAACAATTGTTTGGTAGTCATTTCACAAAATTTAGCGTACACATCATGACTAGGCAGTGCGCCAAGTTCTGTGATTTTTTGCGTACACTCTACGATTTTCTGTTGTAAAATATTTAGTTTACTAGCTAGTTTCTCCAAGTCCTTGGCATCGGCGTCTATTTTTTCCTGGGCTTCCTTCTCTTTTATTTTCCACCTTTCAACCTCTGCGGACTCTGCTTTTTGCTAAAAGAATGATCAAAGACATATTAATTACGACATAATTGATCAGTCAATGTTATATTTACCTTTTTTATAGCGTTAGTTACTCTTTCGTTCTGAGCTTTGAAATCTGAGTTCACTTTCACTAATCTCTTTTCAATATCCGCTAGCTGTGCTTTTGACGATTCTAATTGACGTTGTCGATCTTCTACCGATATCTCTTGTAGTGCTTGGACTAACTCGTCCTTTCTTCTGACCAAATTATTGGTCAACAAATTTTCTAATTTATTTTTCTCAGCTTCCAACCGCATTCGCTTCGCGAATGCCTCCTTATTATCTTTTGTCAAGCGCCTTATGTCATCGTTTAACATGTCTACCTGCCGTTGATCAGCTACAGACAATTGTGCCATAAGTTCTTGATGTAATTCACTTTCCAAGCCTTCTTTTGTTGCACGCATCGCTTCTAAGCTCGATGTACACTGCGTTAAACTTCGTTCCTTCGGTGTACGGTATCTTTCTATCGCGCTCAGTTCTTCCTTCATGAGTCGTATCTCAGCTTTCATTTTATCATACACATCTCTACATAATGATATGAAAAAGTTAAAATAAATCGCCTTCTCGAGAAGTTCTGTTTATAACTTACTTGGCTTTGCTGTTTTTAGTTTCTGTCTTTTGCATTTCGCTAACGTAGGAACTGATGTTTTGATCCGCTTTTCTGATTTCCTCTTTAAGCGTTGAAAGCTGCGTTTCGAGGGAATCAATTTGAGCCATTAGCTCTGATCTCGTCTTTTGTATCTCCAAACGAGACCTTAACGTGTTGAAGTATCCTCCTGTCAAAGATCCTTTTGAGGATACTTGATCACCTTCAAGAGTCACACAATCTAAACCAGACGTGCGAGCCAAATTTGTTGCAGCTTCCAAATTGCGGCAAATCAGTGTCTTTCCAAATATAAAACTGTGTTTACAATTGAGACATATAAGTAGACGAATAGTTTCGTATTTTATCAGAACACAAGATTATTTACCTCAAAGCTTTGGCATATTTCTGATCATATTGTAGCTGTGATATCATAGGTATAGCGTCACTGGTTTCTGGATAATCTATATCTTTGACGTGAAGTCGATTTAAAGGCATAAACGTCACTTCCCCGGGCAGTCGCTGATTATTCATTTCTTTCAGAATTTTCGTTCCGAATTTATCAGTTTCGACAATGTGATGGAATAATCGATTTCCAGCAGTTACCTCTACAGCCATATAAACACTCTTGTCGCAACTGAAGTTCTCAATCACAGGCCCATAATAACTATTCACTTCATGGGCCATGTCATTCTTTTGTCTGCAAATAGAATATATTTTACATTGACGAAATCTATAACTGCAATCAAACAATTAATTTTGCTCACCGAAATGTATCCAACACTTTCCGCACACTATCTCGACCATTCAGAATCGGTTTACCAGCCATAGATCGCAAATTTTGATCTGCCTTAGCTAAATCTTCTTTCAATCCTGATAAGTTGAGTTGTAATACACTCTCTTGTCGATATCTGTAATATAAATATAATTGAGTGCGTTAAAGTTTCTTAGTCGTAAAAGGAATATGTAATGTACGAACTGTTCTTTTCGAGTAGCTTGACACTGGTCCTTCGCTTTCGTGAGTTCATAATATTGTTTATTATGCTCATCTATCGAAGCTCGTTGTCGTTCCATTTCACGCGTATGTTCTTCAATCTTCTTTTCCAAAACGACTTGCTTTTCCGCATCTCGTTTCAAGTCTTCGCTAATTTTTCTTTGATGTTCCTCCTTATCCTTAATTTGTTTTGTAAGTTGTTTGAGCTCAGTTTGAATCCATTTATCTCTCTCATCCTGAGACAAAGAAATTGTTGAAATATTTTGTTCCTACATTTACTGGTAGCAATAAAATTAAGCGTAATACCTTGCTGGTAAATTGACTACCACGTCCCTGTTTAGCATATAATTCTTTCCGCTTTTGCTCTTTCAATTGCAATTCACGTGTACATTCCTCTTCGACACGTTTCATTTCTTCATACTAAAATAATATTATTATTAATCAAGAGATTCGAGTAACTACGATGAACGATATATACTCCCAGATAAAAAGATAGCACGCATGTGTTTTCTGTAATTTCTCGTGTTAAGAGAAGTTATTGAGCTGAAGTCAACTTATGTTATGTTAACATATTCATAGAAGATACGCTTTCCATACTACACAGAGTTTCCACGCTAGCATACGATAACACGAGAAGTTAAAGATAGCACACGCGTGCGGGAAGTGTAGTTTACTTCTGGTTTTAATTTCTCCAATTCTGCTTCTCTTGCCGCGATATTCGCTTTCAATTTTTCTAGTTCCTGTTGAGCACGCTTTCTACTGTCGTTGTCGCCTTTCACTTCTTCTAATAAGTCATTAATAGTAAACGTTAACTTGGTTTTCTCCTTTAATAATTGCTGCTGTTCGGCACTGAAAATTTCATATTCAATTTATAATAAATGTTGGCAACTGTTACGAGAAATTTGCGCACATGTGTGTTAGCTTTACCTTAACGTATCTCGCTCTTCCTTCGAAGTCTGCACCTCCTTTTTTGCTTCCTTCAGTCGTTTCGTCGCTACTCTTACCATTTCCTGGGCAGTTTTCGCTTCGGCACATAATCTTGCCTGCTCAGCTCCACTGTTAGCTCTGGATTTTTCTAAATCTTCCAGCTTCTTTTTATTTTCTTTGAGCTCACGCTCGTGAATCGTATATTCTAAACATCGTCGTTGTTTGTCCCACTGTTGATATTCTTTAAGTTCCTCCTTTTCTTCTTCTAGCGTCTTTAAACGTTCCTCTTTAAGGCAATTATGTAGAATTAACCATTTGACAGAAAGTTACTTCACGTTTTAAAAATAGCATACCTATTGTTCTTAGAAAGTCTTGAATCTTTTCTAACTTTCCTTCTGTTTCTTTCAAAATAAATTTTGATTCTTCTCTCCTGTCATCGTACACTCTGGTGCCAGCTACTTCTCGTAACAATTTCAGTCTTTGCGAATCAGGTGCTGTTGCCATTTGGTTAATCTGCACAAAATAAATACTGCCTTACTTTGGTTCTTACATATCGCACTTGAATAATAAACATACCTTCCCCTGTTTTACGATATAGTACGGATTTGATCTTGAAAATCCTGCTGATTCTAGCAAATTCATTACATCGTTTCGAGTTACTATTCTTTTGTTAAGAAAATATTGGTCCTTCTTCGAACCAATTACTCTTCTTAAATATACTTCTTCTTTGTCAATCTACAAAACCAAATAGTTAATAATAAAAAGTTAATAAACAGATAGAGGCAGTACATGTTACTTACTGGTAATCTTCCATCAGAGTTGTCGAATATAATTTCCACATGTGCAGAAATAACTCTTGGTCCTGTGCCTTCGTGTAACAAAGCCTGTCTCTGTTCAGGTCGGAGGTGAGAAAATTCATCGCTCAGAACAAATTGAATAGCATAAAAGAAGTTACTTTTGCCAGAACCATTTCTTCCAACTATAAACAAAAGACCACTTGTTAGGTACATTATAAAAGAGATTACTTATATTAACTCCAATTTAATATGTTTACGTACCTACTACATTATGTCTGGGATCAAAGGGTTCTACCACTGTTTGTTCCCGGTATGATTTAAAACCCTGTATGATAACCTGATAGAAGAAACATTCATTGTACAGAATATGTAGTTATTTAAAATTGTATGGTTATGTAAAGAAGATTTGTATGACAAATATTGTAACAATTGTTCTACAATAATAGTAATGTCATCCTACATTTCTAACCGCTTAGACACATTCAGTCGTCAATGACAACATCTGTGAACGATATGCATCAAATCATGTGTAATCATATAACATACTGTTTGACTTAATTCATTGACGATACAAATGATTGTAAACATTTCACGCTAATTAATCATCATTAACATTAAAAAATAGTAGCCATGTTTGCATTAAGCCAAAAAGCATCTATCAAAAGTTACGAAGCGCGCAAAAAGGTACGTGCAGTTGGAAGCTGCCTTAAATTCATTTTACGATACCTGTTTGATATACATGCTGAAGTTAAAGTTTAACACAAGTATCCTTGTGTCAATATACCACGATACACTATAAGAAACGTGCTTTTTCTGTCACTGAACGAAACGAAAACTTCTAACCGCCTCAAATGAACTCAAACCACCTTATTGTTGGCGTTGGCGGACATTTATTAGAAAATAATACACATCTGCCATCTAACTTGTGGAATGTGTAACATCGGCCGCGCTCGAATGTGCAGGATGCGCACAACTAAACTAAATGCGTACGTGCGCAGCGTGCGCACTACCGCGCACCGTTTAGTGCGAGCTGGTGCGGGGGGTACGAGCGATGATCAACGAACAATATTTACCAATGAAAATGTCAATATTTTATTTAATCTTCAGTTCTATCTTCAGTTACTTATCGTTCAGTACGTTTCAACATTCTCACGCTGTTCAGTAAACTTGCACATAAGTACGAAACTCATGTTTTCCTTCTCTGTTTCAAGTAGAATTCAATTAAAAATGATTATATGCATTGTGTATGTTAATGAGCAAAGTTTAAACGATTACGAATTAGTGTTTCTAAGCCGAAAATCGTTTTTCTTACTTAATAACATCGCATTAGCTTGCATTCGTTAGTTAGATCTGAAAAAGTTCTCCAATATCAAGTACCACCCCAAAAATATAAGGGAATATTTTCAATTTTTTCCAAAATTGATTTACATACATAACTATCCTCCGGATTGAGATAGAGGGTTGAAAATTGGCATGAAACGTTCTTTTTAGATACTCTATCGAATGACTTATTGCCAGTTGAATTTCGTTCAAGGGTACATTTGATCATTTTTACTGGACCCGCTGAGCGCTTTGCCTTCTGGGCTCCTGGACGTTATCGCCCGCCCTGAATTATTGCGCGACATTGCTCGATGCGCAATGTTCGTCTACAATCTCTATCAAAAGTGTATTATAACACATCATTATTTGTATGCATTTGGACTGCGTTAAACTTCAAAATGAACAAATGATTCTTGCAGATTGTTGCATACATCATTCACATTGATTCCTATTCGTACAATGTCGACTTTAATACAAATCGATGGAAGTTTAGGAGAAGGCGTAAGTGCTTATTAATTGCCTAACAAACACAAAGTATTCGTAAATTATGTTTATATCACAAAATATTGAAGTGAAAATTGTGAAATTAAAAAGGTTATCCAATGTCTATAATTTAGGGTGGACAGGTGTTACGAGTTGCACTTTGTTTGAGCGCATTATACAAAATTCCAATTAAAATTAACAATATACGAGCAGGTCGTTCCAAGCCAGGACTTGCAGCACAACATTTAAAGGGTATACATATTTTTATAGAATTTTTATAAAATTATAGGACATTGTTCAAACATTTTCTATTCGAACATTACAGGAATCGAATTGTTAAAAGATATGTGCGATGCAGAGATTCTTGGAGCACATATAGGTTCCACTACTTTGGAATTTAAGCCTGGACAATTGAAACAGGACAAGCAGACATTCTTTGTGGATATAGGAACTGCTGGCTGTATTTGTTTATTAGCTCAAGTATCCTTGCCATGTGCTCTTTTTCTTCCTCAAGGAGAGACTGTTAGATTGATTCTTAAAGGTGGAACTAACGTTCCTATGGGACCTCACATAGAATACCTCACTGAAGTACTGAGACCTTTGCTCAATAAGTTTGGAGCCGATTTTGATTTCAGAGTTGTAACAAGGTACCTAATTTTGGAGTTAAGCAATTATTTGTTAAATCGTACTGCGAGAAATATTAACTTTTTAATAATAAATGGAGGGGCTATTATCCAAAGGGTGGAGGAGAGGTACATCTTTATGTAAAGCCTGTACATACTTTGAAAGCTATTACTTTAACTGATCCTGGAATTGCACAAGAGATATTAGGATGGGCATATGTTGCTGGGGTTGTTCCTATCAGAGTACGTATTGCATATAGTGGCTCCTATTAATGTTTGAACACATTTCAGAATAGAATAATTTTTTAATACTAGATTGTCGGATGTTGGGTATATACCTATTTTACATGAAATGAGTCAATTTGACTCAAATATCGAAATTGAAGTTTTTTAAGAAAATGAAATTTTATGTTAAAGAAACTTTATTCAAAACAATTTTTATATATATATTCTGTCTTTAAAATATATTTTCCGCAGATGTTTTTATTACATTTAGCATAGACGTTCTTACTTCTGTTTCTTTTGCATGGTATCTGAACTTCGAGTTTTGAAATGTGTCCGAACATTAATGGGAGTCTAATTAATATAGGGTATATCTGGAAAATACTAACTTGGTAGATCTAATTCATTTTGCAGGAGGCTTACAAAATGGAAAATGATGCAAAGTCAGTTTTAACAGATGGTTTAAATAAGCACAATATTACATTGCCGAATATAAATATAGAATCTTATAAAGAAGATAGAAATGCTGCTATTGGAAATGGATCTGGAATCAAGTAAGATTTGACTGTTGGAAGAATTTTTCCGAATTGTGTCCTAATCTTTAAATTCATTTTAGCTTGGTATGCACCACCAGCAGTGGATGTATTTTTGGTGGTTCTGGATTGGGTTCTAATAAACGCGATGAGCAAACGGCTCCAGGCATACAGGCAGCAAACGAAATTCTAGACACGATTTTATCAAAGTCCTGCGTCGACGAGCACGCGCAAGATCAAGTACGTATTTCAAAAGAAATTAAAATAATTCTGTTTACTAGATGATATAATAATTATTTTATGTCACAGTTGATCATTTTTATGGCTTTGGCCAAAGGTACTTCGAAAGTTAATCTCGGAAGCAAAAAACTTACTTGTCACACTGAAACTGCTATACAAGTAGCAGAGATCATGTTGAAGGAATTTAATCTGCATTTTAAATTGTCCGAAGGCAAAGACAATGGAGGGAATATTTCGTATAGTTTGGAGTGCAAAGGTTATGAATACGAGAATAAAATAAAATAAATAAGTATATAAGTAACCATTTTATTCAAAATAAATTGACGTTCATACAATCAATCACATTTATACCATACTTTTGGTAAAAATTATTCCTGTTTTAGCCTGAAAAATGGCTCTATCGTTCGTAAGAATTCTCTTTCAAACACTTCGCCCGAGAATCGATTTACTGAAGCTCTGGAAATAATTAATTAATTTCTTAACAATGAAATACCGAATAAAATGAATAAACCAAATTAATACCTAGCAACTAGTTTAATCGCATTTCTTTCCTCTGGATCCATTCTAATAATATGTGCCATGATTTTTGCATATTCCTCAGGTTCAGTAGCCAAAAATCCGTTTTGGGATCCCGGTTGCGTTTCAATTATATCAGCTCTGCAATTAATTGATACATTTAGCTTATGTAGTTATATATTCTATCAAATACTAGACTTTTCATTTTACTTTGGACCACCGGAATCGTGAGCGACGACGATTAATCCTGCAGCCATGCATTCGACGATGCTGATCCCAAAATGCTCGTTCCACATCGTATGCAAACCTATCGTTGCTCGTTGAAGCTCCAAGAGAAGTTCCGAGTACGGTACGTTCAATTTGAATTCCACGTTCTCATCTAACGCGAAGTGTTTCGACAAATCCTGCATGTCTTTCATGCGTACCTCGTCTTCGAAATTACGACAGGAACCAATTAAAACCAGCCGAATCTGAAAAATCGCATAATGGACTATTTACACTATGACTTTCATAGGACTCCTAATTTTCAACAGCTAAATGCGAGCAGGTAAAATCTGGATACCTCAGTGGGTTCTGTGGTTTCTGCGGATCGAGTAGGCAAGAGTACCAATCAAATCCACTGCTGGTTAGGTTCAAGTAGTTGCCGAGAAGTCGTAGGAAAATCGTGGCTGTTATTCATGAGCTACGACTGCCCTGACCGCTTACCTCTGTACATAGAAAATTTTATCCATTATGGAC